CCACAACCGTTCAAATCCCTCAGTTCTCGACATCTCTGAGGAGCCAATGGTGATTCTCATTTTATTACGAGCATTGTCGATCTTTTTTTGCCAGCACTCTCCTCTGTTCGGCGCTTTCTTTAAACGGGGGATTCCCCGGAGGTTTTAGCGGCTCCGTGTAAACCTTTCTCACTCCTTGTGACAACTAACCCACAACATACACGAGTCAAAGTAGCCGGGGGAACTTTTTTTTCTATGACGAGACACACACGGGCGAGTGACTTATGTGCACAATTTCCCGCGAAAAGTAACCACCCCGAAATTTGAACAGTTAAAATAGGCTTTCCACATGAATCAGGGTAAGACTAAAACAGTTTTGGAAGAAGGATTGATGATGCACTGACTCATTATTTACATTTTGTTCATTTTAAACAAAAATGCTGTTTTTTGCTGTTTCATAATAATTTTATGAAAAAAATATAGATATTTAAATATAGATGTCATATGATGGCTATATGCTTAAGATTTCATATTTCATACCTCTCATATCAATCAGAGTCAGTAAAGAGCGATCTTCCAAGTACATGTGTTTTTTATTTCTTTAAATTTAGTTTAAATTTACAAATAAATGCTGTTCTTGAAAGTTCTATTCATCAAAGAATCAGTTTCCCCAAAAATATTTAGCAGCACAACAGTATTTAAAATATATGAAAAAACAATTAAAATAGAAATGTAGTTCAACATCCGACTTTTAATAAAATATAGGCCTATTAAAATAGAAAACAGTTCTTTTAAATTCTAACAATGTTTCACACTATAAATATGCATCCTTGGTGAACATAAGAGACATCAAATCATACCAACCCCAAAATTTAGAACAGTAGTATAGTAAAACTTTATTAAACGTCAGAATATTAGGCCTAGCTGTGACATTTTCTGAATGGATTTGAAAAGCACGCTGTTATTATCTTATTAGGGAACATTTTTTTTACTTTTTACAGTACAACAATGAAGGCATAGATTTGTGAAGAGGAAGCCTGTTAAGCATCTAACGGTGCCTCATTTTATCTCTGGAGTCAATCCCTGCAAGTCTGTGCTGTTATCTCCCACCTGTCCTCTTGTTGAGGATGAGGAATCTATTAATTAAAATAGGCTACAGCCATATGCTGTGATTGTTTATACAGTGCTCAGTGAACAAGGAAACTTCACATTCACAATGGAACCATTCATAAACGTTCACTCTCCTCTCTGGAAAAAAAAAAGAATAGTTGCTCTTAGCATTTGGGCAAGAGGTAATTGGGATCACTCAGCTTGTCTGATGCTGATAATGGGGCAATGGGAAATTCCTGTCAGAGAGTTTGTGGTGCAAGGTGGTTTCGCAACTGCCTTGGCAGGCTCTGAGCGCTCCACACTATACGGTGTATGAGTTGAAGCATGCTCGCAGCTGTCATTAAACATATTTAAAACAACATAACATAACAGCAAAAAAGACAAAAAACTTTGCAGTGATAGCCATTTGAGAATTATTAGCAATTTGCAAGAAGAAGAACTTAGAAGCTAAGGATCGATTACATATTAATATAATACCACTGCAAAGACAAAGATTTAAACAATAGAGCACTTAATCAATGCTTTTGGCTAATAATGCAGCTATTTCATGGATAAAATTCCTGAATTTTTTTTGTTTGTTTGTTTTCTAACAATGTCTAACAGTGGACATACATGCCTTAATAATCCTGTTTTGTTTTTTAATGAACATTTCTATCACATCTCAATTAATATATTGTGTTTGCCAATATTCTGTGATGGAAATGATATTGCGTTTCTGGAGTAGAATGTATTTTAGTATTTTATGTGTTTATGTATTTTAGTATTTTATGTAATATTTTCACACTTTTTGGATATTAACAGTTTACAGCTTGATTGGAAACGATGAACAATAAACAATATTAAGTGATATTTACCTAGATTTTTTGTTATTCACACAGTGTCGCAAATTTCATCTCTTCACTGAAATTGTCTCCTTGGAAATTTTTGCCCCCCCCCCCCCCAAAAAAAATTAGGGGCAAAATTGTTCAGAGTATAGTGGAAATTATACCACAAGTGTGTGGCAGAAAAAATATATATTTTCACAAAATAAATATTGTAATGTTTTATGTGTAATATTTTATTTAAATGATTATTGTCTTAAACGTGTAATATTAAATATATAATAATATGTAATGGATTTTCATAGTTTAGAGATTGGCAGTCTGGGTTAAAGAATAAAATATAGGCTACACAGTGCAGAAAAATTCCCACACTAAATTCTCCTGTTTTATCAGTCGATTCTCACAGCTTATAAAAGGGTTAAAAAGAGTTGATTATTTCTCTTTAAATGTACACAGCAACATTAGTGTCCTTAACCACATGTTTCAGTGCTCCAATTAATGTTATTCTAAGAGAATGGCCACATAGCCCTTCAGCCAAGAGTTTTAATGCCAGGCAAAGCATAGTTCGTTTTTAAAAGCACATGTTCCAATAACCGCAGTATAAATCTACAAGTTAATTGTGAAGGAGTTTAGCTGTCTGTTTTCAAACATTTGACTGAAAAAGTCATGTCTAGAAATCTCGTCTAGAACATAACTCACTTACATATATTAAACAGTCTTGTTCAAGAATGAAAAAAAAAAGCTGCAGTTCACAAACATAAAGGAGTCTTGTAGCATGGGTTTTTATAGATGTGTGCTGTAATATACATGCACATAATACAACCTCATTAAAATACACCAAACATCTTTCTACAGCCGTTACACCCCATACTGATATCTTTATAAATATATGGACCACACAAACAACATAACATATTAGACAGTTTTCAAAACACCAGCTGATCTGACTCATCTTAAGCTCGTCGTTTTTTCCGTGCCCATTGTTGAATTTATGATAATCAATATATCAATAGCAGGGGAAGTCCTTGACATGTATACAGTAGGCTATATTATGGAAATATTAGAATCATATTGTTTATTCATAATTTTCTCCTCCAAATAATGATTAATGAACTTAATCTTGCAAAAGAGTGTGTTTCTGTTTAGTAAGTGTTGTGGGAATGTTCAGATGTGCCGCAGCTACTGTGCGGGTTCGTGCTGATAATGATAACAGCTGAAAGAGATTATCTGCAGACACTGTGTAACTAGCACTCAGGTTTCAATTATCATCTAAGTGCAAAGAAAAGTGGTGCAAAATTGTCACAAGTGTTAGGAGTCTTTTATGTGTACATTTTTCACATAATAAGGGCTTAATTTAGTCAAGCTGTTGCAAAACTGTTACAGACCTGGACACAAAAATAGACTGAATCATCATCACTTATTTGGTGTTTTTCCTTTTCTTTTCTTTTTTGTCTTTTCTGTTGACCAAGCATCATGGAAAAATCTGTTGTTTATCAATTATCAAGATACTAAAACGTGCTTTTTGAAGCAGCGTAGTAGACTTTAAAAACACAAAATACAGTCATGTGTGCACAATCGAAGAGGTGCATTTTGGGATACATTCTGATGAACCCTTAGATTGGCTGTTGTATAGTACGTACTTCTCACCATAGAAAACGAAAACGAAGTCACTAAATCGTTACATCAGACCAATTTGTTTTTGAAAATTTTGTAATTTTGCTTTGGCATGTAACAGAAAGTAGAAGTACTAAAATTACTAAATGAAATAAAATAAAATAAAAATAAATAAATGAAAATTTTGAAATATTAAAAAACTAATAAAAATGACAAAAGCACAATTTTGTTTAACTATATTAAGTATATAGGCTAATTAACAGTATAAATGAAAAATATGATAATATATCAATAAAACTAAAATAATACTTCAGCAGAATAATTATATAACCACAATGTTTTGTATTACAAGGCTGTGGTTTTGGCTTAAAATGAAAAATGAAAGATCTTGATATTTACAGCAGAGCATTAAAAAAGCTTTGAAGATGCTTCGATCACTAATGAACAGTTTTGTTCCTCAAAAGCTCTCTATAAGTAGACAAGAAAAACCAAACGGCCTACTGATTAAAGATGAGGCTTGAAGGCGCAGTGGCTCCTACGAAACCACATGTCTTGTAGAAGAAACCTTGTGTATCTGTGCAACTGTGAATGTCGTTTTTTTCCATGTGACGTTCTAAATGACACTTACATGATTGGATTTCAGAGATCACTCTTTAGTGTGCCCAGGTGCCATGCCACCATCAGTCTGTCAGACTTGCTCTTGTTTGCCAAGGTATTTGAGGTATCCTGGATTATTTACAATGCAAATGATGCAAAGAAGCATTTTCCACACTACCGCAGCAAAGAATATTTTCCATGAGCTTCATCGTGCAGCACCGGGAGTACGTGCTGCCTGCTTTATCGAGCAGAGAATTACGAACGTTAGCAAGATTTCAAAGCTCATAAAAGTCATTTCGAGTCAACCGCAAGCATGCCCAGGTGAATAGATATATTTTACATTTATTGAATATACTTTCATTTCCATTACACCACAATACAAGCAAATACTGTATGTTTAAACATTATTTTCACTTGTATTGAGATTTACTGGAAGGCTAGACGCCAATTAAAAAAATAAATCTATTTTAATTGGCAGATACATTTAAACATAAATAATTTGTATGGCGAATATGCTAATATACGTACAGTATATGTGCATCTTAATTTCTGTATTTACTGAAGTGAATAAAAAAAGAAGACATTTGGAAAAAAGGAAGAAGAGCAACACATCTCAAAGAATAAACTTCCATGGCAACGTGAAAAACAGAGCATTCGGATGACGTATTTGGCATTGCAGTAAACAAAACGAAAACTCAGCAGGACTCTTAACATGTCTAATCGATCATGGCAGCAGCTTTCCAAACACACACTCACAAACACACACGCTCGGATAAACGCTATTGTTTGGGACTGTTAGCGATTGAACGTAAAAATAGACTGAGTCATCCATCTTGTTTCTTTTCTCATATTTGGCTGTTTCCTTCTTTTGGCCGAGCATAATGGAAAATCTGTTCTTTTATCAATAATCAAGTCACTACAACATACTTTTTGGAGCTGCATAGTAAATAAAAACTGTCAGGCTTGTTATATATATATTAAAAAGTACAGGCATGTATGTATGTGTGTATTTTGGGTAACAACTCCAAAAGATCATAAATTCCTTAAGATAAATCCTTAGATTAGCTCTTGTATTGTAGGAAACCTCTCATCGTAGAAAACAAGTTGTGTAAATAAACACTCTGTATATAAACACTATTAGTTAAGAAGGGCATAACACAATGTCAAAGTACAAAAATCTCTTTGTATACATCTATATATCACAAAATAAGAGTAAAAACAGTGAGAAATGATCTTTCTGAAGAGGTAAAAACCTCACTGTGAAAGGCAGATGTGGATCCACTGTCCTCGGTAAAGTCTTTCAGTTTTGCATCCAACTGTCTCTGCTTTGTGGGTATTAATATGTCCATGTCTCTTCCATGAACAAATCAAGAGCTTTGTTTTGTGGCAGTCAAATATTGTCTCATGAGGATATATGGTGCTGGGAGATAGTCCGAAGAGGAGCAATGCAGTCTTTTGTGGCCTGCCAGATATAGTCTGGCTGTAAAACAAGGCTATACCCCCAACAACATGCCCATGAAATCGGAGCCGTTCTGTATTGTGATCGATGCTCCAGCTGCATTGTCCACAAATATGGAGGTGTACTGCCCGGCCTGTTTGAAAGAAAACATCACAATATTTATTCAATGTGAATTGCCATCTGCAACACATTTTAATTCTACAATTTCATGGATCTGGAAAAATAAGGTTATTCAGTACGATATTTTGGAGGGTTTTTTTTATCAAGAACTGATTAGATCCGGGGTGGCCAGTCCTGCTCCTGGAGGGCCACTGTCCTGAAAAGTTGATCTCCAACCCCAATTAAACACACCTGAACCAGCTAATCAAGGTCTTGCTAGGCCAGGGATGGGAAACTTCTGTCCTAGAGGGCCACCAAAGCCATAGAAGTCAAGGCTGCAACATTTAGCCAACAAAGCGTAACGGCAAATGCTAACGCTGCGGCTGTGGCGGTACGCAGGAGGCTGTTTTTTTTAATGGATGTCAATGGAGAAGAGGCTTCACTACACTGAATAAACCGCTTTTGTGAGGAAATAGCTTATCATTTAATTAATCGATTTTTTAATCTTAACCCTTGTGTTCTGTTCGATTTCTGTGTACACCCCTTATGGACCGGGTCAAATTGACCCTAATTGGATTCAATACAATTCCTCAAAAATCACACTATGAAAAACAACAAAGATTTAGATACAAACTGTAAACTTTTAATATCAACATTTGTCAAACATTACAAAAACATTATATCTGAAAATATGATTTATGAAAATGTTTTTAAAACATTTTTTTAAAACAGTTTTGTTTTGACAAAATTGGAAAATAAACAGTATACTGATTTTTTTTGCATAATATTTTTTTTTTTTTTTTTTTTTACATTTTATGCTTTGAACATCGTAACTGAACAAAAAAAAAATCTGTATTATGAAATTTTTTCATTTTCCTAAATTAACTTTCCCTAGTTTCCTAAGACCTATTTTCCTAGTTTCATTATTCACTCACCGGGAAGTGAGAAACCAAACATAACAAAAACATACATCAAATAAATGTTTTTTATTTATTTTTTGGCTCTGTGAAGCTGCCTTTGAAAATCCTACATAAAAGTTTTGGTTAAAAGCTAGGTATTTTAGATATTTTGAATATTGAAATGAGAGCTTATTTTACTATCTGTGTCTTTTCAAAGATTTTCATCTGTAATTTGCAAATAATTCTGAACACTGTAATTTTAGCTTTTTCAAGTGTGTTTGGTTAGGGTTAGAGCACTTTTAGATGCACTTGCACGTTAGAACTGGAGTTGAAGTGTCCTTACATACAGAAGATAAATGTTTTTATTTTGTGTCTGTACAGTTGCTTTTGAATGGCTGTCTATGAGGGTCAAATTGACCCGCGAACATCACGAACGTAACAGTAATTTTGTTTGTATATGTCAAAACACATCAGCATGTTGAAACTTTGCATGCATGTTCATCATGATAAATGAGAAAAAGTCACAAAATATCAAGACAAAAAATAAAGGTTAACCAGTATTTCCAACAACTTGAAAATCGAAACGGGTCAAATTGACCCGCAACATAACACAAGGGCTAACTAGCTTTTTTTAAGAGTTCAGCGCCAGAAACCGAGTAAACGGCAGTAGAAACACTAGATTTGTATGATGAGGATACAGTTAATTAACAGTGAAACTGCATTAAACTGAGTGGAGTATGTTCAACTAACTCTTACCTGAAGTTCCAGCAGTCCATGGACAGATACTGTAAAGATCTTGCTGTTACTCTCAAGGCCAACAATCATTTCCAAGGATCTGCACAATGGTATAGAAAATATTATGAGCGAACAAATTATTCATTTGTAGACTTCACGAATCAATAAAATGTGTTGCCATTTCTTTGTAATTGTCTTTTGGTATTTACTAGCAATTTCTGAGTGAAATGTTTGTGAGATCAGTTAAATCATTCTGATCACTGAACCAGCTCTTTTCAAATCTTCCACTTGAATGCAAGTTATGGGACAGTTCACAGATTCTCATGTCCAAAATCAGGAAGCACTGCATTGGTTAGGCCACTGTACTATAATTTAATCTTTTTTTTTTATTTAATCTTTTTTTATTTAATCTTTTATTTTATTATTTTATTTTATGTGCAAAAGATAAAATAGTATAATTGGGAAATAATGCCATTATATTTTTACTGACAGATGTTTTGTGTAAGTCATGGCACAGTGTTAAAGTTATTCAAAGAAATATCAATTTATGTTTTGTTATAAAAATACATTGATAAAAATGACTAATTCCTAAAAATGCATAATTTCCTATTTCCTATAATTTCCAAGATCTATCAAGCAATACATTTAAAGATTTATCCTTCAGTATTGTTGCTAAGACCAACAGGGACCCCACGAGTCAAAGGTGGCGGTAAAGGTTACTAAGGTGACAAGGACCAGACTGAAGGTGAGAGGACATTTTTTAAAGGCCTGCTTCACTTTAACACAGGAAATGCCTTGCTGGTTTCCACACAAGTTTGAACAGACAACATGCTTTACAGCCCATGCGTTACTCACAAAGCGCAAAAAAACGCTAACGACCAGCAAACACTGGAAGAGAGTTTATCCAGATCTGCCACCCCCGTTCCCCCTTCTGCATCTCATGTATACCCTGTTACTTAGTACTTAGTCATTTTTTTTCTTTTAAGTAAATTCATTTTCTTTTGATTTGTGAAAGAGGATTTTTATGACATGCACTCACACGCTGAAGCCACTGAAATAAAAAACACATGCAATGAATGTAAAAAGGAGCTCAAGAAAAATACTAATTTTCATCATAAGCGATGTATTCCTCTGAGTCTGAGTCATGAATTTATATTGATGTGGATGTGGTCTGTGGACAACGGGCACAACATCGAGTGTTAATAAATAGACTGCTTGAGGGTAAATTAGACATAATGTAATCATAATAACTTTCCTTGCAAAATTGCTGGTGTCAGATTTTCTCCTGGATAGTTTTGCTAACAGAACTGACACTTAGTCTGACAGAAAGTTCTGAAATCACCAAAACTCACAAGAAACTTTGTGTGGCCAGTCAGACACACACTAGAATTCTAGCACATTAACTCTTTCCCTGCCAGCGTTTTTGGTTTTTTTTTTACAAAAATGTCAGGGCCCCCAGAATATTTTGTTGTATGAATAACTGAACATGCAATATGTATGCTAGCTGTGCATTAAATTATTTTAATGCATGAAGTGGAGGCAAAGAACCACCTGACGCAAAGTGAAGTGACGTATGTGTGTGCGCTTCAATAACAACAGCCCATTAATATAGAACGGTGATAAAACTGACTTGGAACTACCTGTGCTTTAAACGGTTTTATTGCACACCTTCCAGCCAATCAGAATCGTGTATTCAGACAGACCATGGTATAAATCAAAAGAAACAACAGAGACTTTGCTTTTAAACAAAAACAGTTTTGAACAACATTTTGAAAAAAAAAAAAAAAATTCTACCACATTTTTGTCAAAAATGCTGTTTTGATCCAACATGGCTGCTTCTCTCAATAGCCAGGCCAGATGTCAAGATTGTCAGAAAATAATGACAAAATTTTAGTCTGTTTGTCAACAAATATATCTTCACAAGTCTTGTAATATGGCGCACAAGTTGTATGGACCCTTTTATTAATACTTTTATAGGGGTATCACTTTTTAAGCTTAAAAGCTTTAGTCTCTATTTATTGTAATTGCATGAAAAAGTATATAAAACAAACATTTTCTTTCGTTTTTCACAGAAGAATGACATGAGGGTGAGTTAATGATGATAGAATTTACATTTTTAGGTGAACTATCCTTTTAATGTGAGAAATGTGACCAAACTTACGTGTATCTGTGGCAGAGGGATTCAATGCAGATCAAAACTCGGACATTGTCTCTGGCTCTCAGCTGGTTCTTACTTCTCTTCACCTCAGTGTGGTCTGCAAGAAAGAACACAAATTACAAAAAATATATATATTTTCTTCAGACATGCACTACAAACTGTTGTATGAAGAGTAAAGGCTGTTGAAATGTTGTTTGACAGAGTTTTGTATCTGGAGCACATGATGCCACAGCCAGTCATGTTTGACCTCCAGCCGCGTCTAAATATTGGTCTCTTCTATAAGTCTGCAGTGGATTTGTGAATTTGTTTGGGGATGTTGATTTTCTGCCACAGTCTACTGCAGAGAGCCAATTTCTTTTCCCGGAGATGCATGTTGGCGCCACGGCTTAGAAGAGTTTTGCATTCAGGGTCCCTGGGGCTTATTTCAGTGTAACTCCACATAAGCATTGCCTCTGAAACCATGGATGAAGTCAACAGGATCACTGGACCCCTTTTTAAAGCATCAAGCAACAAAAACAAAATACGCTTGTGCGCTTTCAGGCACAGCACTTTTTTTTTACTTTTCTTTTTTTTAGCTTTTTAAGCATGCGAGATTGTGCAAGACACCCTCAATCTCAGCAAACAAATGCTGCACGGTTGGAATGTAAGTTTCAAGGGAATGCAATCCATCTGTTGAGAATGTGCCAAGTCTGAAACACATCCATTACATGATGGCACCTTCTGATAGAGATGACAGTGAAATATTAATTTGTACTCCATGCAATTCGTGTTTATAGCCGAGAAACTGAATTTTCCATTAATCTTTCTTCTGGTTTGGCAGACAAAGCCTCTATCTAAAGTCATTTTAATGTAAACATTTTTAAGAAGCTTTTTTTCTATATCCATCATACTGTTCACAAGGTTTGGTTAAGGTAAGCTTTTTTTTTTTAAAGAAATTAATACTCAAGGATGCATCAAAGGGATAGCTCGCCCAAAAAGGACAATTTTGTCATCACTTACTCACCTTCAAGTTGTTCCAAACCAGTATGAATTTGTTTCTTCTGCTGAACACAAAAGAAGATATTTTGAAGAATATGGGTAGCCAAAACCGTTGACGGGCCTCATTGACTTCCATAGTATGGAAACAAAAATACTATGGAAGTCAATGGGGCTCATCAACAGTTTTTTTACCCGTATTCATCAAAATATCTTCTTTTGTGTTCAGCAGTAGAAAGAAATTCATACTTTTGTGGAAATTCTGTAATATATTCGGTAAATATCAGTTTCCACAAAACTAATAACAATAAGAAATGTTATGAATATATATTAGAATAATATCTGAAGTATCGTGATCCTGAAGACCGGAGAAATGGCTGCTGAAAATTCAGCTTTACCATCGCAGGAATAAATCACATTTTGAAATATATTAAAACAGAAAACAGCCTTGGTGAGCATAAGAGACTTCTTAAAAAAAAAAAAAAAAAAAAATGTAACTGAAAGGTAATCACTGTATATATATATATATATCTCTACAAAATATAACTTATTTATATTATTAATATAAATTCCATTCACTGGTAATCCCACCCATGTTCTTCCGTTTAAGTTTTAAGAACAAATGATGCATGATTATCATTAATCAAACTGCTAATCATTATCATACCCCCAAAACCTCATGTCTCACACTGAAACAGGCACAAAAAAAAAAAAAAAGATTACGAAAGACAGAATATTTACTGGGTGAGATGAACCTTTCAACCTTTCCTTACCAATATGAACATTGGCAGAAAACTGATAAATTCCAGTTACAGGAGCTGTAAATCGGCCAGTGGACTGATCCATCCCCGTCCCTCTGAGGAAGGCACCTTTGGCAGGAGGCTGAAGGTATGAAACAGGTGAGAATTATAGAGGGCTTACCATAAACACACCTAATAACCTTTTCTCAAACAACATCAACACCGCTCACTCTCTATCTGAAAATCATATACGTAAATTGCTGACTAGCCTTCCAAGCATCTCAAGAATATGTTTTTCAGCAGAATTCTTGCTCTCCACACTCTTATAAACTCACATGCAAATCAAAGCATCCCACATACAGCATTAAAAAATATACCAGTTTTAGGGCTCAGTTTGGGAGCACATAACCATTAAATGGCTAGAAATATGTAGACATCTGCCAAGAATCCTCCGATTCTGTTTTTGATCATAACTGCACACTGCAGCCATGCCAGACCACATTATTCTGCATTACGCCTCCAGAACCCACCAAGAGTTCCAGACTCAGACGCTTTTATAATGAGTCCTCCGATTAGTGTGCTAAACACTGTTCAGTTCTGCCATTTTTTTTTTGTGCTGTCAGCTTTGAACACATACAATGAATGCCTTTCATGCATGTCCGATCCAAACAGATATGTGAGAAGAACGTAAATTCATTCGACATGCATTTCTACATTGGATGGATACAAGTTTGCATTGACATTTACAACAGTTATTTCATCCATTTGACAGATTTGAAAGACTATATGATCATAATTTCTCTAATATGGAAAGTAAGAATCATACATCCTCAGTGATCAGCAGATTTAAATGCTGATTGATTAGAGCTTAGAGTGAATCTTGTCTGCATTAATCAATGGAATTTGTTTTCTGTGACTGCTGTAAAGAACGGTTAACAAATAACATGGATATTCGTGTGTGTCCTTGGCTGATCAAAATGCCACAGGGTATAGCTCTTCCTTAAAACAGCATGCTGTTTTAAATGGTGGTGTCTATTTTTATACACACCTCTCACTGGTCCAAAACCTCACACAGAGTACCTTTTGTACACCACCAAGAAAGCAATGTTTTTTAGGAGGAGGGTAAACGTGAGTAAACTTTCGGCCAATCCAGTGTGTCGTCACCAATGTTCATATGACAAGAGCCAATCATAAGGTTACTCTCACAGGTGGCTTTAATTCAGCTGTGTAATTAAAGCTGATTGGGTGGGGCTATCTGTTTGATTGACCAATGGCAGACAGCTTCACCAAACGGAGTTTTTGCCATTCAGTTTGATGCAGGATGCAGAAATTACACACTTCAGTTTGAACGCACACATGTTGGAAGCGTTTCGAATTGGTGTTTGTTTAGTATTCTGTAAAACTGTCACAGTGAAGAAGCCAAATGGAACGATGACAAAATAAGCCAATTTGAAATTATTTGCAACAGACTGGAATTTCTTACGTTCTGGCGAAAGCTGAACCCGCTACCACAAAGAGACGATCACATGTGCACTTTGGAAATTGTATCATTTACTGTAAATGACTGTTTCTAAATCACTGGAATGCTCTTTCGAATTGTCATTAGTGTAAATTTGCTGCTCCACAGTTTTATAACACATGGTTTCCTTCTTTTGTTTGGGCTGTCAACACTTATATGCTCAATATAAAGCACAAGTAATGAACCTCTCATAAAGGTGCTCTTTTTTTCTTTTTCTTGTTCGTTTGATATTAAAGATCTAGATATAAACCTAATTGTGACTGATTAAATCATTTGTGGTGGGGATAGAACAGTAAGCGAAAGAAGAAGTTCTCTTCTTCTTTCGACAAAGAAGAAGAGAACAATGTTGAACATGGTTGATTAAAATGATTTTTAAAAAATCCCAATGTCACCCCAGTTCACAATGAACATTCTCAGAACTTTGTCTAACGTTCTGGCAAGGTTCTCTCACAGTTATGAACCAACATTTATCAAGTAACATTAATAGAATGTTCGTTCAAAGTTTTCTAGTCTTTAATAATGTTCTCAAAACGTTACTACAGTACAGTACTTGTTTAGAATGTTCAGAGAACATTCAAAAGTAACATTCCCATGTTTTAAAAATGATACAATGAAATGTTTCCTTAACGTTCGCATTAAATAAAATAAAAAATACGTTTTAAACATTCAGGGAACATTCAGAAATAACATTTTCATAACTTAAAGGTGCCCTAGAATGTTTTTAAAAAAAAATTTTTATAATGTTTCCTGGGTTACCCTTATAATGTTAGTATGTTTTTTAGATAAAAAATTATCATAATTTAGAAATAAATGGCATTTTTCCTAGCCTGCTTTTAGCCTCTGATTTGAACACTCTGTTTGAAGGGGCGTGTCTGCTGTGGGATTCAGTGTAACCGCGGCCACTGCTGTGATTGGCTGACATGCTTGCATATGAAATAGCAACGCATTACATGTGAAACTCTCTCCCGAATACTTTTACTACTGCTATTATACGTTTTTACTATAAAAGCTATCGAGATTAACGAATCGCGAGATGTTTTTAAAGTATTTAGATCTATTCCCATCACATAAAATGTTGCCGTGATGAGCATTGAGCAGAGGACAGTCTGTTGATCGCGAGAATGAAGATCTTATCATTGCAAAGCAGTTTCTGCACTCTCTCTGCTTTCACCAATGCAAACACGATGATGTAAATACAGTAAGAGCTTCATTGTGCAGTAACGTGCGTCATTGATTTCATAACGAGTTTGGCAAGTGTCCAGATAAACTCGCGCTGTGTGGAAAGATTGTTCTTTGATCGCTTTCTGTATATAATTTGTTCACAATTTAAATACGATTATTTTCATCCTACTAAAAGAAACGATGTGAAGCTGATATTTTAGTCACTGGCTTGACTTACTGATGCATAAACAGTATTGAACGATTTTGAGAGAAAGATTACCTGTCTGAACTTGAACAATTACACATCAGAAAGTGTTGCTTGGTAGCTCGATCCGAGGCCAGCTCTGTATTGGCCCAAGTTGAGGAAACACTCGGTGAAATGTTTGGAAATTTCCAGAGAAAATAAAATTAACCCATTGTTTCTCCAGAGGCTCAGATGAAGGAACTAAAAAATAATTTTGTGTTCATGTGTACATCCACACTGAGCAACTGCCATGCTTCGGCTGCGCAGTTCCGCCTGGCATTGAGGGCTGGCATTATGCAAATATTTGGAGGCGTACATATTAATGATCCCGACTATTGCGTCACAGTCGGTATTGTGTGGAGAACCGACTGTTTTTCAGGGGTGTTTTTCATAAACGTGAATTAAATGAGAACGCGAAAACAGTCCAGTTTGAGATTCACTCTATGTCATGTCCATGCACTCAGAGGTGTAGTGGTAAAAAAAGAGGTGGGTAAACTATAAATTCTGGTGGACCACGACGTGGTCACCCGGTAAGGTGGGCCACTGCCTACCGGTGTATGTGTATCTCCTGATGACATTGCTATATAGGGAGGGCTCGACATTAAGCCTTTTCATACGCTTAATCTGTCATTCACTTGTCCGAGTAAAAAAGTTTCTCGTCCGGATTTTTTATTATTATTTTTTTTAATTCTGAAACAATATTCTCATCAGTGTTCAATCACCTTTGATATTTAAATCGGCATATTATAATATCTGCACCTTTAAAGGGCATCCCCTCCCCCAATCTTATTAAATGTATGCTTCATCTTTCATTTTAAATTCCTAAATTTGATCAATAAATTCAATTATTTCGAATAATAAGACACTATAGGGCTGATCAAATTAAATCATTTACACTGAAAAATTCCAATTTTATAAAATAATGTTATGAAATTGATTTAAATTTACAAATAAGAAACGTTGGACAGAATGATCTACTTTTAAACATAACACGAAACCGCCAGTAGGTGGCGGTAGGCGACCGTCTTAATGAGTGAGTCATTAATTCATTCATTCAAACGATTTGTTCAAACGGCTGATTCATTCAAGAATGAGACTGATGTTTATGAATGGGTCATTGAATCTTTGACTCAATCGATTCCTTCAAAATGCTGAATCATTCAGTAGGCCTAATGAAAACAGGTCGAGTGTTCCTGTGAGATGCACCGTGGTTCTGCTGTGATTTTTGTTTGGAACTATTTTCGCTGCTGAAACAGAACAAAAACAGCCAATATTGCATCTAAAATGTAAGTGACTTAATTTTAACTGTTTATTGAACTGTTGTAGGAAATCAATGTCACATTTTCAATCGTGATGGTGTTCAGGAAAAATAATTGAGGTTGCTTAACATATGTAAAAAATATAAAAACTCCACATTTAGATTTTTTATAGGCAGTATGTTGTTAACTGAGTGTGTGTGTGTGCGCTCATTTGTGTAGATTTCTCCCCGAGAGGCTGCGCGAGCGTCAACAGCGCAACCTCACCGTCAGTAAAAGTCAACAACACTGACAGTAACGTTAATGCAGCGCAATATGAAAGAGTTCGTCTTAGGTTTAACAACCTATGAAACTAGTAATGAACAATATGAAACTAAAACGACATAAGCTTAATTTATAGCTATTTAGAGGAGGATAAACGCAATTTAGAGGTGGATAAACGCACTTTGGAGGTGGGTAAACGCTATTTCCGAATATTGGGAGGTGCGTAAACGGCGTTTACGTGCGTTTAGCCTCCACTACATCCCTGCATGCACTGAACTCTTGTTATTTGACTATACCAAGGTAAATTCAATTTTGAATTATAGGTCACCTTTAATATTAGTAAAACATTCTTGGAACATATTTTTGTTAGCTGGGATAGAACACATTTGTATTCATGAACCAATGACTCTTTTCTTTTAAGTGAATTAAACATCTTTAAGACGTAAAGGCACAGTATGTAAGTTTCGCTGCTAGAGGTCGCTAATTCGAAACAATAACAAAGGAGTAGCTTGATGACACCGTGAATGAATGTGGAATTATGGGAGTTGTCGTCTTCACCTCCACAGCCAATGGAAAACAATCCGGCAGGACTCAGGCAATAAGTCATGTTCATGGATGAGCTAATGTATTAAAGTTTTATTAACGTTACTGTGGTATGAAGCAGCGTGAAGCAAATGCCAATGAGAGACACCTGCGCG